GGGTACAATTATAACAGCACAAATTAATGGGGCAGATCTTGAGGTTACCTTTTGATGAGCCACTCAGTTCAAAGTTTGAATCCTGGAGTTGGGTAATCCGGTCTGTCGGTGATATGGGACCGGGGGTATTGCGCCCGGAGGCTTGAGGCAGATGGAATCGCCCACGTGGCCTGGCACCTTCGGGGACGTCGGGCCCGAGGGTGAGGTGTCCGCCCTCCTCCTGATTTCCCCGAGGGGGGGTCGGGTTGCTCCTGCCCCGGCCCCGAGGGCCGAGGTGCCCCGACCCCCTGTGGGGTTTGCACTATGTACATAGGTTGGGTGAACACGATAGGGCTCACCTAACCGCATTTATTGCGGTCTGGTCAAGCGTGTCACGCTGCATGCAGCGCAATGCAGCGCGCTCTTTTATCCGGTCTGTGACCAGTCACAGACCGGTCAGATCAACGGTTAGGTGGCGACTGGCGGTCTGACGCACGCCTCGCCCCGTCCCGTCAAGACGAGAGCCTCTAGGCACACGTCTCCAGCCGGAGCTAGCGTGTTACCTCTTAGAGATGGCACGTTAGCCCTGGTTAGATGAATACCAGGCTTCATCCCAACCATTACAGGCAGGATGCTACAAAAAGAAGGGTGATCATGCAGATCGCTGAACTGACGCATAGAGGACAAGAATGACCGATCTGTGACCGGTCTGACACTGGTCGCGTCAGCATCAGACAACCACGATCCCGCGTTGCGCCTGTCTCCGCCGGGAGTGGAGGTAGGTGTGGGCTGTCCCATCGAAGTGTCATTCGGACGGCAACCATACCAATCTCCGTCCATAAAGAGAAGAAAAGTCCAGTTTGGAAAGGGAAGGGTACATGTGGTATCCCCTTAAGATATAAAAGGAGGACCATGCCCACAAAGAGCGGGGGCTGGATTTTCCCGGGAGAGGAGAGGGCTAGTTGATGTTTTTGTAACTTGCTCTTACACAGATCCACCAAAAACACAGGAGTAGGGTATTACGCTTCCCAGCGGCCCGAACCTGTATACATCGTCCGTGTCTCGCGTTTCTTCCTGGCACGCAATCTTCCCACACACAGAGAGAGCTTGAGATCTCACCCTAAGCCCCCGGCCGAACCGGCAAAGGGGGGCCTGCGCGGTCTCCCGGTGAGGAGCCACCAGCTCCGTCACGGTCCCTTAGATCATGCTCTGTCTTTTTAGCAAGCTCTTTGGCTTCGTGTAGCTGATCCCTAACCGCTTCAAGGGTCCCTAAATGAGGAACCAGCTTTTCTAAAGTTGTGGTTTTGGCCTCATTACGGAGATGGATTCTCTGCGCAATGATTCACGGTTTAGTCTTGCTGAGAAGGAAACAAGGTCGCCAAAGGCAGCCACCTGGAAGACTTACATTTACAATGCGGGTAGCTTCTCCGAGTGCTTTCTTCAGCTGGCGCACCTCTTCGTCTTCTTTCTGTCGATTTATGACGATGCCTGCAGGTTGCAAGTTGTCGTCCCACCAATTGATTAAGATGGGGGGACGAGAATCAGCAGTTGCCTTTATGCGAGAGATTTCTTCTCTGTCACCGGCCAGTGGTCCTGATGTATTTCCAGACATTAGGCAAGCAAATCGGAGTTATTCAGATTAGCATTACTTGAGAAGATAGGTTACCTGAAGCAGTTTCCGGTTGAGCGTGAGGTGATCCTTGCCCTTTATCTGGGGACCCAGGCGTTGGGTCGTTACCAGCGTCCAGTCCTTGGGAAGTCGTAGCCTGAACTTCAACTTCAGGAATTTCTTGATCTGGACATACTTCCGACTGATTACCAGTCGGGGGCTCTTGGCTTGTTGCAATTTCCGCTTCTGCTGACTGGTTTCCAGTCGGGGGCTAGTCGCTTGGGTTGATATTATCAGTTGAGGTCTGAGCGCCAGTCGGGTGGTCCTCAGTAGTCGGCCCAGCTTCTTTGGATGAACCTGTCTCTGTCTTAGCTGGATCAGAGTCCTTCCCGGATGGATCTATGTCAGACGGTTTCCTGCAAGTTTTCTTCCAGTTTTCAATATTATCTTCATGAGAGAGGCATGTCGAAGTGAAATGGTACCGAATGGTTTATACCTGGAGGATTTTCTGAACTTTGGCATGGGGCGGCTAGACAATTTCTTCTTCGGAGCAGTGTGCTTTGGTAATTTTTTGGGTGATCCCTTATCCCCAAATTTATTATTGTCGTCGCCTTCGTCGTCGCTCGGCACAAGCTTTCTCTTGCGAGAATCTGATTGCCCAGTCGGATTGGGAGTTTTGGATTGGGAGTCTGACCTGATTTTTGGTCCTCCACTCCCCTGAATGGTCTGATGACGAGGAGATCGGCGTTGAGCAATCGGGGGGTCAGACTTCATCAAAGCAAATTCCTGAATGAAATGCCTCCATGGTCAGTTAATTCAACAAGAAGACAAAATTATGTTTTGGTCACGGTTTGAAGAGTTCTGATACATACCAGCGGAGGTGGGTTGAATGCATTATATGGCACGACTGGCAGCAGATGCGAATAACTGACAACGATGGCGTTTGAGAATATCTTGTACATCCTCTCCTTCATGATCTTAAAGTCCAGAGAATCTGGGTCTTCACGGTTTGGATCATGTTTACCATCAAACTCGAAAGCTGTGCGGGATCTTTCTTTGATTGGAGCTAATCGGCACTTAATGAAATGCCGAGTGATTTGCTCTCCCTGTAAGCCTTGCTCCTTGAGCTTCAACATGCGCTCCATCAGTTCTAAGGCTTGGGCAGCTTCATCTCCCATGGGAAGTGAGTTCCAAGTATCTTGGTATACTAGGGGAAGACAGGAGTACTCGGGAAGAGCGGGCTCGGGATTTTGGACATAAAACCAGTTGGCATGCCATCCTTTGTTTGAGGTCTTGAAGGGCATAGAAAAATACTTTTGGCTCAAGGTCCCTCTCAGTTGAAATCCAGCCCCTCCAACTACGCATGGTTTGCTTTTGTTCGGTTGGGGCTTGAGGAAGAATATTCGGCGGAACAGAGCAAAATGAGGCCTAATGCCCAAAAAAGCTTCACAGACATGGACGGAATTTGCAATATGGACTATGGAGTTTGGATTCAAATGATGTAAATTGATACCATAGAAGTTCAATATCCCACGGAAAAACTTCGAGGTTGGAAGGGCAAATCCGCCATAGAAGAAGTGAGAAAAAACCACAACCTCATGTGTATCGGGGGTTGGGAAAGCTTCACCAAATGCTGGCCACCATCCGATGATCTCCTTTGCTGGGAGAACGCCGTGCGCCACCATCTCCTTCAAGTTCTCCTCCGTCACGTCGGACGACGCCCATTGGCTTTCAAAGCTTTCTTTTTCTTCCGCCATCGATTTGATCCGAATGAGTTGATTTGATTCGAGGGATGGCTGGGGAGAGATGTGGAATTGAAGCAATGAGTTGCGTGGAGGATTTTGGTGAACTTTTGGAGGTGGATTGGAGCGGAATGGTGAACCCTAGTTTCGCCGGCGCAGCTTTGTACTATAGCAAGGAATGGGGGAAATGGCGAGAGTTCCGGCGGGGAAGACGAAGCGCCGCTTAGACTTCGGGATTTTTTGTTAAGGGTTTCGGGGGTGCTAATGGGCCTAGGCCTGAACAGTACTTCAGCCCAATATTATTAACAGCGTGGCCCGTTGTGCTCCTTAGGGACTTAGGCATTTTTGCTTTGGCAATTTATGCTCGCAATGGTGTGGCCCAATGCTGATAAAATCCTTTTTAATGCGGTTATATAATTCTTTGGAATTATTGCAATGCAAATTGAAAGGTACCCGACAGAAAAGTGTTATACTATTTTTGTAAGCTTTTTTAGGCTGCAAAAGCTGTCTGGGTTGATTTAAGATGACTTGTTTTTACAATGGTCATTCTCTTGGCGTGTTATATGCCTATTTTAATTATGGTGAGAGTCATAGCCTAGGCTATTAGACTTATTAATTACCATAATTTTTATAACATTTGATGGATTATCTTTAGAGTTTTTTACTCGGATGTTTGTTAAATGTGTTCATTTGTGAACCTTTTAGAGTGTTATTCACTCGGATTTTTTTACTATGGCTGGAAAGCAGTCGGCTGAATGTCTTGTTGGACGCCGCATATGCTTTTGTCATATGATGCATGATTATGCAATTATTTTATTCTTGACTACATGTTTAGTTTGTTAACTAATCATATAGTCGGGGGCTACTGTGGAGATTATGGATACCCCATATCTACACGGCGGTTATATTTAGACTGAATATAGGATACCGAATATAGATAGAATATCTTTATTTGTATCTCGGGTTTGTTTCTTAACTTGTACGTCAAGGAAATATCCTGAGATTTAGTCGGTTACGATTGTATTTTATTTGTATTCTCGTATTCTGATAAGGATATGAGTTATACCTTGTAATACGGACTCCTTCCCCTATATAAGGAGGGGTCCGAGTCCTTCCTGGGACACCAATTCTCTTTGAGATCATACATTCAATAATACACTCGGCGGTTTCCACCCCGGACAGGAGTAGGGTATTACTTCTTGAATAAGAAGGCCTGAACCTATATAAATCGTTTGTCTCCAAACCCATCCACTTTTCAAGCTTGATAGCCACCCCTTTTTAGTATTGCCGAAATCTTGTTTCGACAGTAACAAACTCTTGGTCTATCTGCAATTAATTGAGCAAATTCCACTGTCATGGCCAATGAATTTGGGCTATTTTGAAGAGACAATGCAATTAAATTCCCTCTCTGCTGCTGTCAGACATAAGAAACTCTCCAACTGGGTAAGGTCAACCTGCTGCTGCTATTTTGTTTAGTTATTTTTTCCATCGACATTCCAGTTGAGAACACTGCATCTCTGCGCTCATCTCCATGTTCTCCTCAACTAATCAGATGTTGCATGATCACCATATTGCATGTATATGCATGCATGATCAGTTGTTCACAAATTATAATTAACCACTACATGCTAAAAAATTCCCAAATTATCAGTATATATACATGCACCCATCAACGTTGGAGTTCATCCATCCCTCCATCGATTGATCTCTCACACTCGGATCTTCTTCTTGATTGGTTGCACACATCATCATCATCATCATCATCGGAGATGGTGAAGCTTGTGTGCTTTGTTGTGGTGGTGTTCATGGCGGCGGCGGCGGCGATGGCCGGAGCCGATCGCGAGCTGAAGGTTGGGTACTACGAGAAGACGTGCAAGGACGTGGAGAAGATCGTGAACTCCATCGTCGTCAACTCCATCAAGGACAACCGCGGCAAGGGCGCTGGCCTCGTCCGCCTCCTCTTCCACGACTGCTTCGTCAGGGTAAGGATCGATCGAACTAGTCATTTGACCGAACGCCATGCGTGCATGCAATGCAATGCACGTAGAGCTCGCTCGCTCGCTCGCTAGGCAGCAATGGCGGGTTTGATGATTAATGGAGTTGCTTGCTTCGTCGCGTGCAGGGGTGTGACGCCTCCGTGCTTCTGGAGAAGAGCGAGATGAACAGGCAGCCGGAGAAGGAATCTCCGGCGAACATCGGGATCCGGGGGATGGACGTGATCGACGCGATCAAGGCGGTGCTGGAGGCGCGGTGCCCCAACACGGTGTCGTGCGCCGACATCATCGCGTACGCGGCGCGCGACGCGTCCAGGTACCTCAGCCACGGCGGCGTCGACTTCCCCGTCCCTGCCGGCCGCCTCGACGGCGTGGTCTCCCGCAGCCGCGACGCCGACGCGTTCCTCCCGGACGCCGCCGCAAACCTCACCGACCTCGTCCGCAACTTCCGCCGCAAGAACTTCACCGTGGAGGAGCTCGTCATCCTCTCCGGCGCGCACTCCATCGGCGTCACCCACTGCACCTCCTTCGCCGGCCGCCTCACCGCCCCGGACGCCCAGATCAACCCGGGCTACCGCAGCCTCCTCGTCTCCAAGTGCGGCGGCGTGTCGCCGACGCCGGCCAACAACCACGTCGTGGTGAACAACGTGCGCGACGAGGACGGCGCCGCCGTGGCGAGGGTCATGCCGGGGTTTGCGGCGAGGGTGAGGAAGGCGAGGGACTACCTGGACAACAGCTACTACCACAACAACCTCGCCATGGCGGTGACGTTCCACGCGGACTGGGCGCTGCTCACCGGGAAGGAGGCGCGCGGGCACGTCGTGGAGTACGCCAAGAACGCGACGCTGTGGAACGTGGACTTCGGCGACGCGCTGGTGAAGCTGAGCAAGCTGCCCATGCCGGCGGGGAGCAAGGGGGAGATCAGGGCCAAGTGCAGCGCCGTCAACGGCTACCACCATTGACGTCGACGACGATCCTTCCATCGATCGATCGATCGAACGATCTCATGGATATATGATGCAGTAGCTTTGAATTAATGTTTGACTATGATATGATCTCTGTAACTCTATTGTATTTTTTGTTCCTTCGCCCGCGTGAGTACTAGTTCAAATTCAATTCGTTGTACTGCAAACTTTTCAAAATAATTATGATGCAAAGTAGTTCAATTGTAAATTTCTAATATTGCTCTTTATACAAGCACGCGCTCTGTCTCTTTCTACGCTTAGGACGTAATTCCGGACGCACGCCCATATTATTTCGGCCGGAATTTTTTTTAAAGAAAACATTTTTTTGTGAATTTGGAAATATTTGTTCAAATTTTGTTCAAAAATTAAAATAGTTTCTGGTGGTGATGCCGGCGGAGAGCAAGGGGGAGATCAGGACCAAGTGCAACGCCGTCAACAGCTACCACCATTGACGACGATGACATAAGATGATCGATGCAGTAGCTCTCTCTCTCTCTCTAAATGTTTGACTCTGATATGATCCCTATAACTCTATTGTACTTTATTCTTTTCCACTGCTACTACTTCCTCCGTCCTTCTTTTCCACTGCTAATACTTCCTCCGTCCTAAAATGTAGCTATCTAGTATATGATGTGACATTACTTAGTGCTATGAATCTGGACAGGAGGAATCTGGACAGCCTCCTGTTCAGATTCTTAGTAATAGGTAATGTCACATCCTGTACTAGGTAGCTACATTTTGGAACGAAGGAAGTAGTTTAAATTCAATTCGTTGTACTGCCACACATTCAAAAAAAAATTGGGATGCAAGTAATTCGATTCTAAATTTATAATGTTATTACTTTTTATACTAGTACGCGGGTGCGCTCTCGCCAAAAGCTATACTACCACTGGTCACATAAATATACTCCTTCAGTTTCATATTATAAGACACTTTTGTTTTTTTTCTAAGTTGAGCGTTTTTAAGTTTGACTATGTTTATAGAAAAACGTAGCAATATTTACAATACAAAATTAGTTTTGTTAAATCTAACGTCGAATATATTTTGATACTATATATGTTTTGGATTGAAAATGTTGCTGCTTTTTTTTTAAACTTGGTCAAAGTCAAAACAAAAAAATTAACTTTAAAAAAAAAAGACAAAACGTCTTGTTATATGAAACGGAGTGAGTATTATTTTGGAGTTTAGACACGCATCTTTCAAGTCAAACATTAAAAAAAGTTAAAATATTAATAGTTCTTTAAAGATTTAGATCGGATGCATGAAAATCTAGGCATAGATTTGCCCAAGCGGCAAAATTCACAAAATCAAAGCTTTTGAAATCTGTAATGGATGAAAATTGGCTCTAAAGTTGGGCTTAAATTAATTGTCCAATTTAGACCTACTTTTTAAGCCCAAATTGAATAATAGTTCAATTTCGTTCCTCTCCCCGTATGGGCTTATAGGTCTAGACGAATATGTATATGGGCCTTGATTAGGTGCAGGTAACTTTTGGCCTACATCCGACCACCAGCTGTTTTGCCTGGTTACGGCCCAAATGAGGAATAAGTCCACTGAAATCCCTCATCTTCACGCGAGTTTAGCTTAATTGATTACCAGAAATCTTCACCCCTCTTCTCGGCAAAACAGTCTAAATCAGGTCCTATAGTAGGGTGGAGGTATGTTTGTTTTAGCTGACGTGGTATCCTAGTCAGAAAAAAAAAAAATAGTGTAGGCCCCACATGTCATTGGCCACCTCTCCTTCCTCCACTACTTTCCTCGTCACCTCCAAGCCAGCGAGTTGCCACCAGCTAGCCACCATCCGCGCCGTCGCCGCCCGCCATCGACGTGACGCGGCATAGAGATGGCGGAAAGCACCGGCCTATTTCCGACCGGACACCACCGGCGTCGGCTGGACGGACCACGGACATCACCATCTTCAACGCCGTGGCGGAGCGCTTGCCGTCGCCGCACCCCATCGTCATCTACTTCCACGGCGGCGGTTTCACACTGTTCTGCGCAGCTTCCCGCACCTACGACGCGCTCAACCGTCGTCCTGTCCGTCAACCACCTTCTCGCCCCCCGAGCATCGGTTCCGCCACCATGTATGATGTTTGGGCCAAGGTGCGGCCGGGGCGTCTACTCCAACGCGGGCTTCCTCGGCGGCGTCGGCTGGTGATGGCAACGGGATGCCCGATCTTCCGTCAAGTGAAGGTAACTATCGATTTGGTGGAAACTTGACACACATGATTCGGCTTCGAATCCGAACCCTACAATCATAGTAGATATTACTCCTTTGGATAATGCTGCTCCTCACCTTTGGCGTTTGTTGTGGCGCGCGTGTGCCAGCTCAACCCCAACGCCTCGGCCAGCATGATACTCCCGCGCTTCTTCCGCCCGCGTCTTTGCGCGGTGAAAGTGGCCTGACCCGGCGATGATGCGTGCGTGCCATGCATCGAGCACGACGACGGCGAGCTCGGCGTCAGCCTATAAAAATGCCTTCGTTTTCACAGACGAATGGCTTAATGTAGCCACCTACCGAAATGTACTTACCCTCACGAGCATGCAACAAATGGGTGGATGGCCACCTGATTAAAAGTATTTCCTGCTTGTAACGGAGATGGATTCTAATTACTTGGGTGGATGTCCACCCATCTTTTGGCTCGCAAGTGTAGTAAAATTATTGTTTTTTGCTTGGACAATAAACGTCAAGCTCAGCTAGCAGCATTCATATATAAATCACGCATGCATATATGTCCATATAATTAACAACCTTTTCATTCATGCATGGACATATATATGTCATCCTTGTTAATTTAATTTGTCTGTTATCAGTTAGGTCGACACAATATTCGCTAACTCGAGAATTTTTCAGTTGGGTATGCACAAATGCAGCACAACGTGCAGTATGAGCAAATAGTAGATACACTGTCTGTTACACCGAAAAGACATATAAAAATGGTATGGAGTATATCTGCCAGTAATTAAGTACCTATCAAGTTGACATTCTTGTGGACAAACAGACACCTTAATTAGTGCAGAGAATGTCGACAAGCCGTGTTTCCTTCAATGAAAGACTTGCATTAAGTCCATTTAATCATGCATGTATATATGTAGTAACATTTGCATAGACTAGAATATCCATTTTATTTCCATCCAAGACTTTATTTGATGTTCTGCTGGGACATAGAAATTAAAATAAGAGTAAATTTCACAAAACTATAGATAATTTGGATCAAATTATCATAAAACTACAGGTTTAAGAATGTGTATCACAAAACTACAGATTTAGCGTCAAACTTTTCACGGAACTACAGATTTAATGCACCATATCACAAAACTACAGATTTAGTGATGAAGTTATCAAAGAATTACATATTTTAGAGTTTAGATCATAGCACTATTATTTATTTAAAGTTATAAAATCTGTAGTTTTGTGATAAAATAGTTTTTAAATATGTAGTTTGTGATAAAATAGTTGTTAAATCAATAGTTTTGTGATATAATACCTTAAATCTGTAGTTCCGTGATAAATTTGACTCTAAATCTGTAGTTTTGTGAAATACATTCTTAAATCTGTAGTTTTGTAATAGTTTGATCAAAGTATCTGTAGTTTTGTTAAATTTACTCTTAAAATAAATTGTCTTGTGTTTTTTTTAATACAGGATTCAATTCGTTTCCCTACTAATTCAACTTGTGAACTGATCATCATGAGTCCAAAATTAAATTGAGGAGCTAGGGACATTTCCAGGCCTACAAAATAAAATTAACCATGCTTTTTTAGATAATTGGGGGTCGGGTTAATTAGTACTATGTTCTATTCATTCTGTTAATCTTAACTGCCGGTAGCTAGCTAAAAGTTCTCAAAGTCATCAACTTAATTAGCTAGGATATTGGTGTCCAAAGCTAGCCAGATTTGATAACATTTTCTGTTGCAGTTGTAACTAGTGTTCATACCTCCATAGAGTCAAATGCTAACTAACCAACATTGCATATATCCGGCCAGATAACTCTTGTCTAATCCCATAGGAACAAGATAATTATCAAGTACCCTCTTGTGTGTGGCAATGTCAACCCAGCTATATACCTAGCTAGCTTAATTAATTAATTAGCTCATTCAGCTATACCAATAATTTGTTGCAGCTAGCTTAATTAATTACCTCCTAATCATTGATCCATCCATCATCACCCATGCATGGTTAACACTGCATTCCAGTCGATGTCATGCTATAAATACCTGCAGAGATGAGCAGGACATGCACACACACCACAGTCGCAATCAGACATTCTCTCTTGTTGGTTAACTAAATAGCTTAATTAATTTGAGGAGTTTAGTCTCTGAAACATGGCGATGGCGACAGCAGCATGCAGAAGGCCTGCAGTGATGCTCATGGCGTTCGCCATGGCGGCTGCGGTGACGATGAGCTCCGTGCCGCCGGCGTCGGGGACGACGACGCTGCAGTACGACTTCTACTCGTCGTCGTGCCCGAAAGCCGAGGAGACGGTGAGGAACGTCGTCGAGCCGATGATCTTCAACGACCCCACCATGGGCGCCGCCTTCATCCGCCTCTTCTTCCACGACTGCTTCGTCAGGGTACGTACAAAACTATCATTTATAAAACATATAAGTTTCGTAGTAAATTCATCAACGTGTCATATTTGGATTGGTTTAATTCAATTTAATAATAACAATTTACATTCATGTTTACCCAACACTATTTCTTTAACTATGTTTTAACAATAAAATTCATTCCAGTCTTTATTTTAAAGAAAGTACATCCAATTATTACACATATATTACAAATCAAATGACTCGAATTATAAAATCATAGCTCGATTAAAATCAAGAAAACCACTTAAACTACCTGTTTGAAGACAAAGGTTAACTATCTAATTAAAAAAGTAATTAATGAAATTGTATTTGCAATAATAGGGTTGTGACGCGTCCATCCTGCTGGACCCGACGAGCAGAAACACGCAGCCGGAGAAGACGGCGATCCCGCTGCGCGGCTACGACGCCGTGAACAAGATCAAGGCCGCCGTCGAGGCCGTCTGCCCCGGCAAGGTCTCCTGCGCCGACATCCTCGCCTTCGCCGCGCGCGACTCCGCCGTCGTCAACGGCAACTTCGCCTTCGCCATGCCCTCCGGCCGCCGCGACGGCACCGCCTCCTCCGCCTCCGACGTCGCCCGGTTCATCCCGTCCCCGGCGTTCCACCTCCAGGACCTCGTCGACAGCTTCGCCGCCAAGGGCCTCACCGCCGACGACCTCGTCATCCTCTCCGGCGCCCACTCCTTCGGCCTCACCCACTGCGCCTTCGTCACCGGCAGGCTCTACCCCACCGTCGACCCCACCATGAACGCCACGTTCGCCGCGGCGCTCAAGAAGCTGTGCCCGCCGCCGGCGAGCGGCGGCGGCGGGAGGGCGGTGAGCAACAACCAGGTGACCGACCCCAACGTGCTGAGCAACCAGTACTTCAAGAACGTGGCCGCCGGGGAGGTGATGTTCACGTCGGACCAGACGCTGACGAGCCGCGACGACACCAAGGCGATGGTCGACGACAACGCCGCCAACCCGGTGGCGTGGATGGCGAGGTTCGCGGCGGCGATGGTGAAGATGGGCGGCGTCGAGGTGCTCACCGGGAACGCCGGCGAGGTCAGGAAGGTCTGCTTCGCCACCAACACGGCGAGCTGATAATTAAGCTACAAGTTCTCTTTCTCCAGCGATCGGCTGGATCATTACCACATAATATATATATTCCTTGTTATTTTGATCTCTTAATTTGTACTCCGTAGTTACCTGCATCGATTCTTGCTGTTGTAAAACTGAATTGTAATTCACTATCTTTGAATATTCAGTGATCAGTTACAGTGGTTAGTACTTTTCTCGTTCTATTGCCCGAATTTAAACTGAAGCAGGTTGCAGTTATGGGCCAAATCCTGTATCTATGACATGTAAGTTCATGCGGCAAATTGGTAAACACCATATCTAAAAGTGGAAGATAGTTGAATATCTTCAAATTTGAGAGATTATGTGCCAAAAAAGTTCAGAAAAATTTAGATCATGGAACAGATTTGAAAGAATGAAAGATTGCTGGCCAAATGGTTTCATCAAATATGCTGGGCCAGGAAGGTATTGGGCTCGAGTCCGTTGGGCTTTGATGGGCCGTTCTATTGATCCTGGAAAGGCCCAATTGTAGGAAAGGCCCAACAGTCTTGGAACTCTTGAAGCCTTGCACCAAGTTGGTCACCAGCCTTATCAGTGATCAGATTCAATCAAAACATTTTACTTTCTGGTTTCTGCAGAACTGAGTTTCAGTCATTTTCCTAGTTTGCTTCACTCCATATTGTGCATGTAAATTATAATTCCTTTGGCTGTGTTCCGAACAACAAAGATTGAAGATGTTGACCATTTCTGTTATCAAATAAAAATGTAAATTTAATTTGTTCGATGATTCCTTTGTGCACAAATTCAGCGAGTTCAGATGGGCCTGAATTTATACCGAAACAGGCAGCCGTTGTGGGCCAATTTGAAGAGATTATGGCCCAAATGTTTAAGATGAATTCATATGCGGGCCAAATTCGAAATACTGTGGGCTGGATGGTTTTATAACGTTCGGGCCTGAAACCAAATACGGAGTACAGGTTGGTCATGGGCTCATGGCCCAAAAAAGTATTGGCCTCGAGCTTATTGGGCTTGAACCTTTCGCACCGGGATTTTATCCCTTTCCCCGGGACTCACTTCGGTTGGTCCTGGTTAGGTAAAAGGGTACACACTTGTGCGCGTTCAGTGGGACTGCACGTTTCCCGTACACTGTGGCCTAGTGTCTTCAATCTCAATCCTAGAGTGTGACCGTGTGTTAGGAACGCGCACGCGTGTGTGTGCGTGTGTTGTGGTGTGAGTGTGGTGTGTGTGAGTGTGCGTCCTGAGTATGTACCCTTCTCAAAAAAAAAAAAAGGGACAGCTAACACAGCCAGATCAGATCAGACTAGTTTCTGACCTCTGGATATGAAGTATGGAGAACACTACAAAATATTTTTCTTCACCAGCATATCAAACCTTAATAATTATGCATTATATGTATGGGATTATAGATTGGTACACAAACCACATCGTGAAAATATGTTGGAAGAACATATGCATAGAGCAAATATATTATTTAATGAAACTAAAACATAGGGCAACCGACTCAAATTCATCTTAACAAGCACCTACAAGTCAAATGTATTGTTGCACCAATGGTTATCGTGGCAAATTGATTGATGAAGAAAATTGTTGCTCCAAGCTGTAACTTCCAGAGACAGAGTCGCAAGTTAAACCAGTAGAATGGCTGAACCTGCCATCTGAAGAGTTACTAGTATTTGGGAATGGGAAATGCTCAATTTCTCCTTCTGTTACTGGAAATTGTTGGCACTTTCTTTGTCTTATAGTTCTAACAAACTGCAACCTCATTTCTACTTCTTTCATGGTAGGTCTCTCTTCTCCTTTTGTTTTCAAGCATGATTCTGCAATTGAGACAATTTCATCAATTTCTTCCCGGTTTGCCTCTTCCATAACTTGCGAATCCAAGATCTCCATGACTACTCCTTGTTGATGCCCTTCCACAAAGTAATGAGCCAAGCTTTGTTTTGTACCTTGGTCATTTATAAAAATCGACTTCTTTCTTACTAGAAGCTCGACAAGTATAACTCCAAAACTATAGACATCACTCTTCGCTGTTAGTTGGCCAGTGTAGTAGTACTCTGGATCTAAGTAACCAAATGTGCCTTGTACATTTGTCATAACATGAGTTTGATCAAGTGACATGGTTCTTGAAGCTCCAAAGTCAGAAACCTTTGTAGTAAAGTTGTCGTCCAACAATATATTAGAAGATTTGACATCTCTATGGTAAATTGGAATTGCTGCAGCTGAGTGTAGGTAAGCAAGAGCTCCTGCGGCTTCTACTGCAATCCTAATACGGTCATCCCATGATAGCAAGCATTTAACACTTACATCACTGTGAAGAATATCATATAGTGTCCCATTGGATATGAACTCATACACCAATAAAGGCACCTCTGCTTCAAGACAACACCCAAAAAGCTTTACCACATTGCGATGAATGATTTGCGATAATATAGCAACTTCATTGATAAATTGATCTATCTCTGTTTGCTCCGCTATTTTGGACATTTTAATGGCTACTATGCATTGATTGGACAAAATCCCTTTGTAAACTGTGCCATGCCCTCCAGAGCCAAGTACACGAGTAGCATCAAAGTAGTTCGTTGCCTTCTCTAGTTCCTCCAAGGAGAATATCTTTGTTTTATCTTGTGCTTTTTCATCTAATATCAATTGTTCCAAGAGTAGGCCTTGGTTTTTCTTGAAGTGTGCCCTTCGAATTCTCTTTTGTACACCTCTCTTCCACTTGTTGATTAGTACTATTGCACCGAGTGCAAGAATGATTGAGCCAAGGCCACACCCAATTCCAATTGTTATACCTGTTCATCCAATAACACTTGTATTCATGAAGACGTCATGCATTTTATGAATTATACTTGAATATATTTTGTTTGAAGTGACCTACCTACAATAAGATTGTGTCTCTTAGCTGATGCCGTACATTTTCCTTTTGTTAAACACTCAATATCTGTAAATAGTAGGGAAGCAAAAAAACAAAGTGGAACCTATTAATTTTAGAGACAAATATCGGGGTTCAAGTACATATGACAAAACTTAGCCAAAGGTAAAACATCGTGATAAAGAATTACTACATGGTCCTTTCTTAAGTGGATGAAATTATATATTTATCCATACTTAGTAATACCTTTACCCATAAAAATAGGTATGTTGTATCCCCAGTGTTAGTAAGTGCGAGTATACGCAGTATGGCATGTCTATAATATTAGAACTGTATAATCTATATTCTTTTAAAAGAAAGTAGTGTTGCCACCACCCCCACCACAAACTTGCTACTTTTGTGGAAAAGGAAAAAAAAACTGTAGGACCAGAGGATCACATGTTCAACCACCCCCACCACCAACTCCCTTCTTTTTTGGAAGGAAAAAACAAACATTGGAGCTGGAGAATCCATACATCAGTAACAATTATGTGCAGTATGCTGGTTATTGAAATGAATAAAGCAATCCATCTTCACCCTTTACTATATTCTCCTGCATGCTCCTATATTAATACCAGTAGGTAACAAAAGTAGATTTCAACATTAATTTGAAAGTCTAGAAGTTCTACAAGTTAAAATTGACATTAATCATTTGAAAATCTAGAACATTAAAAAATGTGCATATGAAAACTCTATCTTTAAAGATGGCATGTGAACTCTTGCCAGATCCAAGAGGAGATAAGCACGACACTGTTTGGAGCATTGTGAGATTAGCTCACGTTGGGTTGATATCTGGTCCGATTTTGAAATATATGTGTAAAAAAATGAATGATTTGTTAGTATAGAGTGAAAACTGGACTTGGGGAAAACCAACATCCTAAAATAGACTTCTCCCTTCAGAATTTCTTGCCCCCATATTGCAAGCATAATATCTGTAAACTTTGAATTTGCAACTACAAATATGTATTATTTCTAATGCTTAAAAATGTTTTCTACAATGGTAGTAGCTCATCATGTGGATGCATGGGTTCATCATTAGTAAAACAAATTGGATGTGTTATGTATCTAGGTTTTCTTGATCAATATGAGAATTATAAAAATTTCTTATTAATAATGAGATTCTTCTAGCCTTTCTGAACCATCTAGAATAAAGTTGCTGGCCTTACTTTTCTCTCTCCTCCATGGGTTTCTAAATTAGTATATAGAAAGATTACCAATGTGTGCCTTACTGTTTCTATTACTATGTAGTATATATGTTATCTAGGGTATCTCACTTAGTTGATTCTTATAAATTTACTACTTTGAAAACGAAGTTGTCCTTTTTCCTTTTCCACCATCATAGTTCCCCACTTAAAAATCCGCACACTAAAAATAGCCACCCACCTAAAACCAGTTTCTACACGAAAAATCAACCAAAAAAGGGGAAAAACTAAACCTCATAATTCCAATCCTGTTACAATGCACATGCATGGCACTAGGCAATACAAAATAGGAACATCTATACTCCTTTAAAATGGACCTTTAGAATGGAGTAGTGGTGAATCTACCACCACCCCCATCACCAACTTACTTTTATTTTGAAAGGGAAAATTACACTATTAGGACAAAGGGCCCACATGTCAACCACCACCTGCAACTTTGTACTTTTCGTTTTGAAAGGAAAAAGGATAGTGTGCGATCAAAGGACAGAAATTAAGAAATAATATTTGTGAAAAAATATGGTAATATCGGGTCAATGATAATTTTATCTAATTAGAATCCTATTGCAGCGCACGGGTAATATGCATACATAGAAAAAGAATATATATAAGTCGTACCAGGGTCGTCACTGCAGCCAAGGTTAACGTAAGGATTGCCATCGGTGACATCATTGCGGCAGGAACAGTAATATCCTCCATTTGTAGCATTGAAGCAATTGGTGTTAGTGGTGCAAGCATAGGTTGCTTTGCTCGCTGATGCACCTGGACAAGTCTCCTGGTCCATGATGGCACCACGGAGAAGAGTACCACCAATGGAGCTCGTGTTCATCCAGCTGGACGAAACAAGATCATTCGTATTGAATTGATAGCTGTTAATTGTTGGCAGGATGAAAACCTGAGCACGAGACAACACCCGATATGATCGCGGTGTTGTTCTATCATCCGGATGATCAAGCTTTAACCAAAACCGACGCAGCTCCCTTCTCACGATGATATGGCAGCAACCGATGCCGGTACAATCCCCATCGTGCATCTCCATGATCCCCAAATTGTCAGAACACATGGTGATGCAAGAACCCATGGTCTCGTTCGTGTCAAGATCGAACAGGCACGCCTCGATCCCACATCCGATAACGAACAGGGTGCTCTCGTTCACGATGGTGAAACCATTGGCAGGAGAAACCCAGTATCGGATGTAGTCGATGATGCTGCTGTTGTTCATCGCGATGTTGAAGGCAATGGCTGGGATTTCTATCACCTCTAGTGTCCGGCCTGATTGGCCGATGACCTTAGTTGTAGTGTTTGCCAGGAGCAGTGTGGGAGGATGAGTGGTGTTGTCGCAGATGAGCTCGAAACCTTGCCGGAAGCAGCCATGGCCGATCCCAAATGGGTAGGAGAAGCCAATGTCGCCGCAGGTAGAAGGGCAGTGAGCCAGAGAGTTTTTGGAAGGGATTGTATGCAAGAGCCCATTACCTCCGGCGACTCCAGGGGTTGCTGCTGCTGCTACTGCCGCTGCCAAGCACATCATCAACAAGAAAACAAGTGTGATATTGGAGGTCATCACTGCTAAACTAAGCATATGCCAATGTTTTGTGAATTTGTGATGTTTGGTAGTTGGACGGCATCGTGTAACATATACATTTGTATAGGGACCAGGAAGACTCAACTCGATCCATTTTTGTTTTCCGATTGAGCCCTATTTCAGAAGTACTTTGTTTGTTTAAGCCCATAAATTATTTGATTTGAAAAATTGGGTCGTCCTGGTCCGTCCTATGATGGCAATACGACGCTAGGCATGAGTAGCACGTACTGAGTATATGTATTGAACGCGTCATTATATATTTCGTAGCGTCGCATGTGCATTGTGTTGCGCAGTTGCGTTTATTTCATAGCGTCGCATGTGCAGATATCCTCTGTATCTCACTATCTCTCCAACTACGTTGCTGCACATATGCAAGTATGCACATATGACTTAATTAATTTCATGTTTAATTATTACATGCTTATAAATTACTAAACCACTATGCATCAGTGAGTATAGCTAGCTCAACTGGTTAGATTCCACGTGGTAGAACCTATCCATCCGGATTCATGTACTAGACTTAGTACCGGCGCTCGTATTTACAACTTGATGGTTGCTAATTATTCTTTCAGTAGTTTTAACTAGCATTAGTTTGGTACAACTTTTTTAAGAGCTGTGTGGTAGCTTTACTCTATATTCTCACACTAGCTTGGAAGTGTTAGGTACAGCTCCAACTTTACGAGACAAAAATGTTGAAGTAGGAGCTATACCAAACGAGCTTTTAATGAAGTACTCATACTAATAAATTATATTAATGCTATAGGAAAACGATAGTTCTAGGAATTTCTTTGTTCTCAGTGCCTGCTATTTAGAGAAATTAGCCACTTTAATGATCTTTGATGGTTACAGAGGGGTATCAGAAAACAAACTTGATGGTTGCTAATTTTAAACAAAGTTTTTTTCTTGTTGATTCTTATTTCTAGGTGCAGTGTTTTTATCGCGTATGATAGCTATATGTATGTAGTGTTTTTATCTGGTATGCTACCTATATGTACTCTTCTCTCTCTATGCCTAGGCCATATGCTTTCCGAACTGCTAACCATGTATTTTTTTAAACAAAAGTCTATAAGAAAGTTGTTTCGAAAATCATATTGATCCATTTTTCATGTTTTTAGCTATAAATCAATCAGTTATGTGCTAATAAGTCGCTCTATTTTATGTGCGAGGGGATTACTCCCGTTATCTTCAAAAACCAAATCTAGTATTGGATATGATACATGTAGCTCATACAAAACAAACCTAGTCGTATCCTATCTTACTGTAAAGTTATAACCCACTAACCATAAATCTCAATATGCAAACATGCCACCTCATCATCCACTAGCAATAATTACATGCAAAACTTATGCAAGCATGCAACATCATCTATAATTCATTGAATTGTACAAATCAACATCCAATCATCTTCCTTCACATTAATTTTCACAATATTTTTAACATGTATATATCTATCGTTTTATAATCCTTAACATATATTCATCCATATAATCAAAGTGTATGATATCAAATTTCATCTACAATCTCATATATAGTCTACTAAATATCTCTCTGAACATAGTTGGACAAACCAATGTTATTTGTTGTTAATAACGGATATAATTTTTACTTTTAGCTTGATTATTAAAAAATATTAAAAGTTACTTAGAAATTTCTACAGCAAAGCGTGGAGAATCACCTAGTTTTTTTATAAAACGGAGGGAATACGGAATACGTCACGATTCTCGTCCTTAGATCAGACTTTCGTCAGCCATTCATAACACACTTTGATTGGTACAGTACTATACAGTACGGAGTACTACTTAGGAAATGATTTTCATAAGTCATCTACCCTTAACTAGTACTCGTACTTACGTGGATTGAAATTCTGAAGTGACCTAGACACTGATCAGTAATTCAGTATGCCAGCACAAAATCTGGGCCTCAAATTGAACATAGACGGGCTGCCTTTGTGTTCCAAATTTGGAATAAGTCTATTTGCCTCCCTCAACTCTCAACTCATGACTCTAGCTGAATCGCATCCCTCAACAGCTAAACCGGGTATAATTATAACCTATCCCTTGATTCCTAACACCGTTGCAAATCAATTCCCTGGACGGTTTTGGAGGCGGTTTTGTCCTACGTACGTGTGCTTACGTGTCAGATTGACTTAGTCTTCATTCCATTCCATGTGACATCAATGTAGTGCTTACGTGCCATTAAAATAAAAACAAACATAAATAGGACCTACATATCAGTGAGTAAAAATAAAAATAAATATCGGACCCACAGGTCAGTTAGCCTTTCTCCTCCCTCTTATCTAGCTTCTCTCTCTCTCTCACTCTCAGGTGGATAGCGCCGCCCGGCCAGTTCCGCCATGGATGGAGGTGGCGGCGGGGGGACGGAGCATGGGGGTCCGCCAGCCGTCGACGTGGAGGGGTTTGCTCGCGCGGCCTTCGACTCGTCCTCCATAGCCTTCTCCTCCCCGGCGCCCTCCCATCTCCTCTACGCGCTCGAGCCAGCGACTCAGCGAGCTCCTACCCCGCACACGCCCACCCGACAAGGTCCTTCCCGCGAGCGCTCGGCGGACGGGATCCTCCCCGCGCGCACCCGGCCGGCGAGCTCCTCCCCCGCGCACGACGGCCGGCGAGCTCCTCCCGCGCGCCCCGCCGGCAAGCTCCTCACCCTCCCCCCCCCCCCCCCCCCCCCCGGCGCCCGACCGGCGAGCTCCTCCTCGCGGACGGCCAGTGAACGAGGAGCTCCTTGCGCTCCTCCCCCGCATGCAGCCGGCCGAGAAGCTCCTCCCATGTATGCCAAGCGCCATCGCCACCACGCTGATAAAGATATGAAAGGGGGAGAGGGCGCGAGAGATGAGGGAGAAGATGGGATGAGGTGGAGGCCGCTGACAAATAGGTCCCACTTGATGACTCAACGAGTTAACTACCACATAGGACGAAACCGCCTAGGGAGTCAATTTGCAACAGTTTTAAGAGTTAGGGGATGGGTTATACCCGGTTTTACGGTTGAAGGATGTGATTCAACCAGGGGCACTACTTGAGGGAGGAATATAGACGTATTCCTCCAAATTTCAGAGATGTTTAGCCCACAATCTTTCCTACTATGGGCTACCGATCGTTCATATTATGGGCCGAACAGATTAGACAATTTTTGGGCCCATAGTAAGGAAGGTTATGTGGGCTAAAGGATTTTATCGTGTTAAGGCCTCAAATAAACGAAGTTTGTGATGGGCCAAAAAGTATTGTCTCGAGCCCGTTAGGCTTCAATTTCGCCCAATTCGCAGGACAGCGTCTTGAAGCCTTGCGGCAATATTGGTCAATCGCTCACTGCAGAATTGCAGAGCTAGCACAATCTGATCAGACTCAATCCAAACATTTTTTCACTTTCTGTCAAACTACTGGATCCATCTCGATCGATCGTGCCACAGCCATGCAATGGCATGGTTTTTTTTTATATATAAACAATAATAATAAATTGGACCAGAAGCTAACATTGGATCTGAATTAAGTCACCATGACAGTGAAGTTGAAAAACTGACGAAATCGATCCAAGATCACTCTTCAATTAATTTATGGTGACTGCATAGCGTGCTAGATACCTCTTCATCTGTACACACGCCCTGCCAAATTGACTGACCGCATCCTCGTCGTCGTTTTCATCAGATGCTGCGTCTTCTTTCATCAGCAATTCAGAGATGATATGTTCATCCGGTATCCGAAATGTGCAAGAAAGTTCAGACATGTTCAGTCCAGATCCATCCATCCCATCGCCGCCGACGACGACGACGAACACTGCTGCAGGTCAGCACCCGTGGCGCCTTGCAAATTAACAAGATCTCAATTTACCATAAGTCCATAACTAACATGCACGCTAGCTGCAGCAAGCTGCTGCTAAACTAATCGTCGCCAATTAATTACTCACCTAAACCATGCACTACACTTGAACAGACAGTGTCAGTGTGATCAGCTTCATCAGCTTAGCTCAAGAGAGGCAGGCCGGTCAACTTGTGACCCCATGTTCTTGTCTCCTCATGACACACTGGCCATGTTCCCAGTTAGCATCGATCAACACTTGCATGCAGCTGCTACCTAGCTTAGCTTAGCTTAATCACCCAGTGCAGGTCGTCACTAGCTACGAATCACTATCAGATTATACTAATCCCCACTTGGATCGATCATGGCAGCTGATACATATAAATTGGATGGCCACCCTCTTCTTCTTCCTAGTCACCTTCACTTGATCAGTTAGACTCCTCGTCTAGCTGAGCTATCTAGAAGAGATAGTTTGTGTGTGTGTGTGTGCTCGATGGCCGCCGGTAGCAGAGACGGCGGTGCTCGCCGCCGATCGTGTAGTGTGCTCGTCGCTGCTGCGGCGATCTTCTTTGGTTACGCGGCGACGGCGGCGGGGCTGCAGGTGGGCTACTACAACAACTCATGCCCCGGAGCTGAGGACCTGATTCAGACGATCGTCCATGGCGCCGTCCGCAACGACGCCGGCAATGGCCCCGGCCTCATCCGCCTCTTCTTCCACGACTGCTTCGTCAGGGTCAGTGATACTGATATCGCATTGCGGTTAATTTGGTTGAATTCACTTGGTCGAATTTGGTTGAGCTGATGATCGAGAGGTGTTCGATGCAATGCGAATGTGTACGTAGGGGTGCGACGCGTCGGTGCTGCTCGACGCCGACCCGGCGAGCAACGGCACGGTGGAGAAGATGGCGCCGCCCAACTTCCCCAGCCTGCGCGGCTTCGGCGTCATCGACCGCGCCAAGCGCGTCGTGGAGCGGCGCTGCCCGGGCGTGGTCTCCTGCGCCGACATCGTCGCGTTCGCGGCGCGCGACGCGTCGCGCATCATGGGCGGGATCAAGTTTGCCATGCCCGCCGGCCGCCTCGACGGCCGCGTCTCGAGCGCGTCCGAGGCGCTCGCCAACCTGCCCCCCGGGTCGTTCAACCTCACCCAGCTCGTCGCCCGCTTCGCCACCAAGAACCTCACCGCCGACGACATGGTCACCCTCTCCGGCGCCCACTCCATCGGCCGCTCCCACTGCTCCTCCTTCTCCTCCCGCCTCTACCCGCAGATCGACCCCGCCATGAACGCCACGCTCGGCGTCCGCTCGCGCGCCAAGTGCGCCGCGGCGCCGGGGCGCCTCGACCGCGTCGTGCAGCTCGACTTCAAGACGCCGCTGCAGCTGGACAACCAGTACTACCAGAACGTGCTGACGCACGAGGTGGTGTTCACGTCGGACCAGTCGCTGATCGACCGCCCCGACACGGCGGCGCTGGTGGCGCAGTACGCCGGCAGCCGGAAGCTGTGGTCGCAGAAGTTCGCCGCCGCCATGGTCAAGATGGGCAACCTCGACGTGCTCACCGGCCCACCCGGCGAGATCCGGCAATACTGCAACAAAGTGAACTAATTATATTTAAAAAAAATCGATCGATATTCAATCCAACCATGCACGCACTTCGATACTGCTTGATTGATTGATTATTGTACATGACATGATCAGCAAAATTTCATCGAAAAATTCAACATCACCTTCGATTTCATGCTGCTTCACACAATGATCATGTGTACTTGATGACATTGTTGTAAGTTGTAACATAAGAGAGGGTAGAATTATCACATCGGCATTTGTTCAGTTCAGGTGTTGATAGCTTTTCACTTTTCTTTTTCTTCGTCTTTTTGTTTCTTCTAATTCTGAAGTTTCAATTATGCACTTTCAAGTTCAAATATTCAATATTCAGCTACAGCAAAGTGAGAACAGGGTCATTATTCATGACCTTTGGTCTGAATTTTCTTGCATGATAGTTCATTGATTTTCAGTTACTGTTACAGTGTGTATTGCTGAAATTTCTTGCTCATATAATTCGATCGATCACTGAGATGTTTGTTGGCTGTAGAAGAAGAGGAAGATGAACTGGTCCAGCTGCTGCCCAATGGAAGAGACACATGGTATCTTGATGCACATGTGGCATGTTGTAACACAAACCAACGTGTTGCATGTTTTGTTTCCTTCTCTCTCTCTCTCTCTCTACATTTCGACATTTCGTTCTCCTTTACACATATGGGATCAACCAAAGGGCTAACATGCGTGCATGTGCAAATAATATGGGCACCAGCTGCTCAACATTTCTGCCTTAAAATACAAGTGCAGTTCCAGTTCAGTCCATATACATTCAGAGTCAGAGCAAGCAGGGACAGCATTGGGCTACAGGTTGGATGGAGAACAAAACCATCTGTCTTAAACTCTCGCCCTCTCTCCCCACAGATATAAGCATTCTAAACGTTTAAAATTTATCTAAAAGTATATAAGCATTCTAAACATTTAAAGTTTATCTAAGAAAAATAGAGTACTACTTATCTCATTGATCACCTCTAATTTATTTTTTTTATATCTTATCTCTACCATCCTTTGGCTCCCACCTACCTATCGCATAACAGAGACATTGAGATTTTTTTTTCTCGTCAATCTAAATTTTGGTTAAATAACCTTGAAATCCTTGTTAATATATTTTTACGTCTAAGTAAGAAATTTTCCTGTATTGATTTTTTCTAAAAATAAATAGAAATTGTTAGATTTGTGAACGGGGATGACTAATTGCTATGGAAACTTCTACTGAACAGTAACAAAAACTGCAGTCTGCAGTCTGCACTGAAAGTTAATGGCATATGCATCGGGATCTGCATGCAGCAAGGAAGAGAGACAAAATTTTAGTGTCACTGGATGCAATTGACCAGCTCGATTAGATTAATAATCTACTACTCCACTACTCTACTAGTAGTGTACTTAGTCGCATGTAGCCTCCAATGGAAAAAAAATTCAACTCTGAAGTCTGAAGCAAAGCAGGACGACCCGGCCGATCGACCACAACTCTGCAGTATATTGGCGCCAACCTTTTCTACGCGAATCTTTTCACCCCCCAACTTGATCAATGCTGGATCAACTTAGAACATGAGACCATATGGTAGTAAATTCACAAGAGTGATCATCACTTGCTGTTTTAAAATATTGGTAGCTCGATCAGCTCGATGCATGTGTTCTGATTGGAACAAACTCTCTGACTTATATTATTGTTCCTCTGAAACTCTGACTAGATTATTGTTCTTGTGAAAGGACAGCATGCGAAGCTTCTCTGACAGTAGCTTTACTACGAGATGGGCTAGAAGAAGATGATCAGATAACAAAACAAAAGTTGCTGGCGATGGTGGCTGGGGAATCTCCTCCTGTTAACTTTCTGAATCGTCAGAGCAGCAGTGTTGCCATCTTTGGATGCTTGTGTTGGTGTAGCCACTAATCGCTGCAGGAGCGCATGCGATTGAGTGCCAAATAATGTAATGACACTTTGGATTCTTGTGGCCCGACATAGCACGCTCATCTCATCAGCTCAATCATTCATGAACATGTATGCAAGTTTATGCATTTTTGTGTATCTGCATAACTGTATTTATGTGTGTATCTCTCTCTAGACTGTACTTGAGTGATTCACTTTCTTCAGAATAATGTAGGATGCTTTACACTGTGTATGGCTGTTCTTTGTCTTGATAAGAGAACTCATCTGTGTGCTTTTCTTTTTTGTATGTTTGCTAACAAGTAGTACCAACTAATTAATAATTGTCAGTTTGTCACTGTGAAGATTGGGATATGATGAATGACAGTGAGAAACTGGACTAGCAAATCCTCGTGTGCCTCTGTTTGGCGCCAAACCATCGAACTACCCGGGATTCCTTTGTTTGAGCTGCCTTAAAACATTATGTAAAGAGCGATATGAAGGTATTTCTACTGTAAAATTTGATGTCTCTCAGTATCTTAGATATTAAGCTAAAAAAAATTGGTCTTTTGGTACCTCTGGAAAACCGTAAAATTTCTATGTAAAATTAGCACAATAAACTCAATGGAATTGAATTCTAATCCCTCGAGCAAATATTTGCTATATGCTTCCCGTTCATAAATGGAATACAAGTAGTTAAGAGAGCGTATTTATTAAAAAAATTATATATTTTCACTGAAAATAAATCCATCTCTGATAGTCAACTGCCCATTAGTGGTAGTGTTACCCATCCAAGAGTGCAAAGCGAGAATCCTAACTTGCACGCGCACGTTGCCGGCGCGCATTCTGGCCCACACGGCCCAACACGCGCGCGCGAATCTTCTTTTTTTTCGCGCTGTTTTTTCTCTTTTTTTCACTTTCTTTTTTCTGTGATTTTTTCCTTTTTGTTTTTCACTTTTTTCGGTTACTTTTTATTTTATTTTTTTGCTTTCTTTTTTTCCGTGTTTTTTTCGCTTTTTTAATCTTCCAACGACACGTGTTTTTCAAATGTTTTGTGTTGAAAGTTTTTAAATCTTAACTTCAAAATTTTAAATTAGGACAAAGTTTTCAAATCTCGAGTTAAAAATTTTCAAATCTCAAGTTGAAAGTTTTGATAATTTTCAAATCTAGACTTGAAAGTTTTCGAATCTCGAGTTGAAAGTTTTCAAATCTCGAGCTGAAAGTTTTCAAATCTCAAGTTGAAAGTTTTCAAAATTTTCAAATCTGAACTTGAAAGTTTTTGAATCTCGATTCTCGAGTTGAAAGTTTTCAAATCTGAGTTGAAAGTTTTCAAAATTTGACTTTAAAACATGAAACTTAAATCGAAAGTTTTTTAATCTAACTTAAAAAATTTTAATTCTGTTAGTAAAATAATCTCTAAAAAAATATTCAGAATCTTACCTAATTACTATCATTAGTATCAAGTGTTAACTAATAGAGGTAGTTAAGGCCTTAAGAGGGGGAGGTGCGCGCCAGTAGCGCGCACGCGCTAGCTAGGAGCAGGAATCCTAATTGGCGCGTAAGCGCCGGCCCACACGGCCTAATAGGCGGCAAGACACGGTTAGTTTTTCTTTTTTCCAAATTTTTCCATACATGTGTAAACTTTCAACCCAGATTTGAATACTTTTAACTCCGACTTGAAAACTTTCAACTTCGACTTGAAAACTTTCAACTGAAAACTTTCAACTTCGACTTGAAAACTTTCAACTCATATTTGAAAACTTTCAACTCAGATTTAAAAAATTTCAACTCGAGATTCAAAAACTTTCAACTCGAGATTCAAAAACTTTCAACTCGAGATTTGAAAACTTTCAAATCGGATTTGAAAACTTCAACTCGAGATTTGAAAACTTTCAAGTACAGATTTGAAAATTTTTAAGTTAAGATTTGAAAAAAATATGAAAACTTTCGACTCAGATTTAAAAACTTTCATCCCAGATTTGAAAACTTTCGACTCCGATTCGAAAACTTTCGACTCGGGTTCGAAAACTTTCGACTCGAGATTTGAAAACTTTCAACTCAGATTTAAAAACTTTCAAATCAGATTTATAAATTTTCAAATCGAGATTTGAAAACTTTCAACTCAAAACATTTTTTTAAAAAATAAGTGTGCTAAAGATTAAAAAAAAGTAATCAGAAAAAAAAGGAAAAAAAGTGAAAAAAATCGCAAAAGAAAAACGAAAAATAATTACGAAAAAAAAGAAAAAAAGGGCTGATGGGCCGGGAGCAGCTGGCGCGCCAGCGCGCGCGCCAACTAGCAACCCCCAGCTAGGAGGCCCTAGTGCAAAGGCGTATGAGGAGTTTTTTTTGTTTTTAGATTTTTTTTTTTAATATTTACAGAAATATTATAGCGCCGAAAAAATTTGCAAAACTAGACCCTGCCGCCCTTCGCAAGGGCGGCAAGCCGACGTGGCACACGGCGCCGTGTGCGTCTTGACGGCGCGCACGGGCCGCGGGGAGCCGAGGGCTTGCCGCCCTCTGCAAGGGCGGCAGCTTCCTCTCTGCACAACGGCTGGAAAGGACTCCTGTTTTTGGAAAACGTAACAGCGAAGTGTAGGAATGCGAGTCCCGAATATAAACAACAACATATTCAGTTTACAACCATATAGTACAAGAATGTAAAGAAAAATAAAGAGATGTCTGCTCTACTGGCCGTGACTCGCGCCGCGACCCCGCTTGGTCCTCCGGGCCTGTGCTCGCACGTGGTCCTGGGAGTACGTGAAGCGATCCGGTGGGACAGCACGGGTAGCGCGAGGGTCTGGGAGTGGGGTGGAGGGCGACTGCTCCTGCGTGTGCACCGGCGGTGCGCCTCCAAGCTGTGAGGGACCGATAATGTCCGGGAAGTCGAAGTCACTAATGTCGAAGTGCGTGGCGGAAGCCCACCCGTGCTCGGACGAAGTCCCGGTAGGACCCTGCCAAGACGTGCCGGGCGGCTGTGACGAAGTCCCGGCGTCCTGCCAGAACTGCGCAGACAGCGAGGCCGACACACCTGCCTGTGACGATGACCCCGCAGCCTGCCAGGAGTGGGCGCCCGGCGTCGTCCCAGGCTGAGCGAAGCCTACACATCGACGACGCGACACTTGTAAGCTTACACATAAATTGAGTATCAATTGATTGATGATGTACAAATAGACCTTGAATATACGTACCTCCGAAGGGAGGGGGTGTCGGCGTAGGAACGTGCGCAGCTGGACGAGGAGCAGTCGGTCGGGGACGCACCTGTGGTGCTGCGTCTGCCTGAGCAACGTCGGCAGCACGACAGGTCAGCGCACGGAGAACCGAGCGCATCGAGTCCCGTATCCGCGTGTACGTCGACAGGTGCTCGTCTGCCCCCACCTCAATCCCCGCGCCTAACCGTTGGATCGCCGTTGTAGCATCAACGACGACCCTGTTGCACTCAACGGCCTGCACGGTTAATTACAACGTAAATATTCGTAGCCTTTGTCCAACAGAAAGGATGATGAGACGATGGTGCGATGCAAGGTACTCACCGCACGAGCGAAGTCCTGGTCGCGGTGCCTGGCGTAGAGGTCTCTGGCGCTCGCGGCGTGGGCCTGTTGCTCCGTCGGAGCGTAGGTGACTCTAGTACGGGTGCGTGGCTGATACCAACGTAGGTACGCCTCATACCCCTCCTCCGTGTGTGGCTCTCCCGCGTGGTCCACGACCTCCTCGGTAGCAAGCAACCAGTCGTCGAGAAAAGGCCCCAACTTGGCAGGCCAGTGACCAGCTGAGTGCTGACCCTTGCGCGAGTACCTGCAAATTAATGTATTGTATTAGGGCAAACGACAAACAAAGCAAATTATTATGGACAGCCCGATGTTAATGCAACATATTAAATCGTAGTAAAACGGCTTACCGGTGAACGGCAGCCGTGACGCCCGCCGGAAACGGGACTGGAAAGGACTGACGGAAGCCGAACTGCCGCATCACGCGGTAAGGTGCGTGCGGCTCGACACAGATGTCGAACACCATCGGAACCGTAGTCATCCAGTATACCAACTAGTGGGAGTCCACGGACACCGCGCATCACCCAGTTGTAAACTTCGGCCAAATTTGTTGTCATTATACCATATCTAGCACCACCTGTGTCATAAGTCTTAGCCCATTTCTCTTTTGGCTCATTCTCAATCCACTGAGAAAATTTTCGAATTTGCTCCCCAGTTCTTCTAACCAATGTTACACTGTCTGTTGGGAGAGCTCCGAGTGCTTGAGGAGGGTCAGGTACAGCGGCCGCTGGTCTTGTTGCACGCTGGTCACTACATTTGCCTGTCAACTCATCTAATCTCTTCCAAAGCTCATTGAATTTTTTCTCCTGGTTCTGATTGCATAGCCTCTTGAACATGTTCATCAACTCCTTGTTCTTAAATTGCTTGAAGAAATTAGCTCCCATATGACGCATGCACCACCTGCTTTGTACATCTTCCCACTGGCCAGGGTATCCTCTTTCCATAGTCCCAAACTTTAACTCTTCTATCGCTCGAAGCATACCGGCGTGCCTGTCATGTATTAGACACACATTGGGCCTCATACCAACAACTTCTGTCTTAACCAGATGGAGGAACCAGTACCAGCTGTCGGTGTTCTCGCTCTCGACAAAAGCAAATGCCAACGGCAATACCTGATTGTTCCCATCTACCCCAATTGCCGTTAGTATCTGGCCCCGATACTTCCCGGTCAAAAATGTGCCATCAATACAAAGAACTGGACGACAGTGCACGAATGCCATCTTGCATGCATGTAGAGCTAAGAACGCTCTTTGCAGCACAGTCTTGCCAGGATGTTCAATTGAGGGGAATGTCTTGAGTGCACAAGAGGTCCCAGGGTTTCTTTGTTGGATAACAGATAGCAGACGTGGCAAATTGTCATATGAGGCTTCATAAGTTCCAAATCTCATCTCTATTATTTTCTGTTTGGCCCTCCACGCCTTGGCATAGCTAATTGTATACTTGAAAGTCTGTTCGATATGTCGGATTATTGACTTCGGTTCATATGCCAGATTGTCCACGACATGCGCATACATCTCAGATGCAACAAATGCACATGTAATGTTCCTGTGGTATTTTTGAACACCAGGTAGATAACAAGTATGTTTCGTAACGACCGACACTGTCCAGTAGTCCTTCCATTTCCCCTTATAGGCGTGCACTCTCCACGGACACCCATCTTTTTCATTAACACACCTAACTTCATATTGTGTCCGGTTAGACTTGGCAACCCAAAACTCCCTATGAAGTGACACTGCATAATGCTTCACCGCCTCCTTCATGTCTTCTCCATTACCATACCTCGCTCCCTCGATAATCTCGTTTTCCTTGTACTCCCATCTCACATTTTCCCCTTCAGAGATGACCAAACCAGAAAAATCATCACTAGCCCATTCAGCTGGATTAATATTGTTCTCGTCATCATCTGACGAATCATCTTCCTCGACACGCTCGTTGTCACTATCCTCTTTTTCCATTTCGTCCACAATGGCACCCACAGTCTCCCCCTCGTCAGCCACTCCACCAGGTTGCATGCCTACTGGAGCTACTACTGGAGCTACTCCATCTTCCTCTGGTGCGTTGACCTGATCCACTTCAATCTCATTCACTTCTGCACTTGGCCCCTCGCCATCATCCATGTTCATCTGTACACTTGGATCCTTCGGATGAACATACGGAACCATAGCTAGAGGCCACCCACGTTGCAATGCATTCTCCACATACCATCTCCACATCCCAGAGTTTTGAACCGGCATTAGTTCCCAATAAAAACCCTCTGTTGCCCGACTTACTACAACATAGATTGTAATGTCACTAGTCTGTGGATCAACTCCCAAGCCCCGCATCAACCATTTTTTTATAGAAGGTACACTCCTCTCGGCTGGCCTATCAATTCCCCTTGCTGTTACAATAAATTCTGACAGATCTACCCCAGTTGGCCCATAACGGACGTTTCCTTGACCATGGTATAGTTGAAATATAAGTTTACTGGACATATCTGCAAAGTTAATTACTAGGCCGTTATTTTACATAATAAACGACTACAGTGTAATATCTTCTTTGCAACGTACCTAAATTTTTATATATTCTATTGCAATGTTACTCAACAACATTTAAAACTACAAACCTAATAACTACAAATACTACAGATCTACTAAGTTACCTACATGGCTACATCTAACAATATATATTTATATAGTACCACAGGTAAAACTCTATTTCATACAATGCATTTATCATATATTTAGTCACGTATATAATCTACGAATATTACCTGAAATCGAAGTTTGAAACTGGCAGGGCTTCGCCTCTTCTTTTCTTCTCCTCCCCTTCTCCTTTTTTTTTTTTTTTGATGTGGAGAGGTTAGGAGGGAATGGGCTCCTCAAAGGAGCCGGCTGGGCTTTATAGGCGGCCAGGCCTGCCGCCTTCTGTAAGGGCGGCAAGGGGGTCCTGCCGCCCTTTGCCAGGGCGGCAAGAGGGCAGGAGGGGGCAGGAGGACGGCCGTCCCGCGCCGTCCAGCGCGCCGTGTGCCACGTCGGCTTGCCGCCCTTGCGAAGGGCGGCAGGGTCTAGTTTTGCAAATTTTTTCGGCGCTATAATATTTCTGTAAATATTAAAAAAAAAAAATCTAAAAATACAAAAAATTCGGCGTATGAGCAGATCCAACCTAATTGGGCCTAGTTGGGCCGAGCGAATAAAAACATCAGCCCGTTAGGGCCTCGTTTGTATAGGCCAAAATTGTGGCCCATCCACGTGTACGGGCTGGCACGTTCAATTCTGTAGCCCATTCAAAACAAAACTCTGATCAGCTAGGTCTAATGGACTTCTAAATGCTACTCCGGCCCAACACGCTAACTAATCAGTTGTTTGCGCCTCTGAAAATCGAATTAAGACAACTTGACCATGCGAGACATGGAGATGAAAGTTCAACACGGAAAAAAACAAAGAACACAAACAAGAAACATTCATCTCTACACCATGTAAGCATGTATTCCACCAAAAAGTTTATTGTGTATGTTTTGACTTCTACACCTACCCCACCAAAAAGTTCTATGCGAATGATCGATGCAACAGCTGCAAAAGTAAACGCGTCCCTGTAAATTAATTGTGCATTCACTTATCGCCTTACATTTAATTTCTTTCTCTACCATACTTAATTACATAAGAAATTTAATGTTTGCAAATCGGTGTATTTTCATACCTGCAGCAATGCAGCTAACTTTTTGCAAGACATGTTCATGCATGGTAAATTGGTAACCACCCAAAATACATTGCCTATATCTATGTTTTGAAAGGAAGATATACATAGGTTATAGGACAAGTTGTTTGCTAACCTTAGAGTTAGAGGCAGACCATTTCTACTAGTACGTATTGTTTAAATTTGACTTTTGGAGTTGTATATTTGTGCTAAGATATAGTCAAAAGGGAGCCTCAAATTAATTCACCAACTTCATCAAACTGTGCAACGACAATAATCTGTACGTATATCACCTAGTGAACTAACTAACTATTGCAGAGAGCATGCATACACACTACTAAAATACTTTTCTAGTTGCCTTTGGAGACTTTCTTGGATGCATGACGCCATGATCCCCATGCATCTAATTTATTACATATATATCTGCAGCTACTTGGTAGACTAATTAAGCTAGATGATCATGAGATATCATTTGACCAGGTAATTAACTTCAGGGACAAAAGGTAAACTTAGGAAAACGAAATGTACACTTACTAAACATATGTATATATACATCATGCGTCATCCTCCAAACTCACACGACTTTGTCCCGGTCACCCCATCGACCTTGTCAAATTTTATTATATTGATCTCTCAACCAAAAGCTTTCTGTCTTTAAGTGGGTTAAGAATGTTTTACAAGTAATCTACACACACATCTTTGCCCATTTCTAATTCCTTCTTACGCAAATGATTGTGTGTAGATCGATCGATCTGTTACTACAAAGTCTGAGCAACATTAGGTGATGGTGACACACAATTACAATATTATTTGTACTTATTTTGTCGGCCTAATTGATGTACAGCTATCTATTACTAGTTCTTCCTTCGATTCCAAGCATATAGTAATATATGACACGATGCAATTTGCATTCATACCCATATCCCTTTCTCACTTTCTCAGTGCAGCCGACCCAAAGTTGGAAATTTTCTTGATCCATAGACCTGCATGGAAATATTTATTGGAATCTACCACCTCACCTATTTTAATATAATTTACAAATTACTCTTTGAACTTCTTTAATATTAAGAAGCAAACAAATCTAAATGGATAGCCACATATAAAATAGAATTAAGGTGAACATTTCCCATAGAAAAAAAAAAGATGTGAAAAAAATATTATGTTAAAATTTTCTTTTATCCATAGCAAAGCACGGACATTCAGCTAATATGAATATATGATCATCAATCAAGATCAAGCCGTCCATCGCTCCTCGAGATTCGCGAAACTTTGGAGTTTCTCCCAAAGTCCATGGACAGGTTCATGCACGCGTCTGACACGCTTTCTTAACAAACAAATCAAGTTTGTTAGCTTGTCTAATTAATGGAGATCATTAGCTACTACAAAGATTTAGTCGTGTTGTTGACTCGGTTAATTGCAAACATGAAGAGGACGCATGCAAAACGCGCCAACTCCCAACTGCTACGATCTTTTGGTAGCCTCCCTATATATACCACTCCACTCCATATCATCGTCTTCCATCTCAAAATCAATCTAAATCCATCCATCGATCTCTCAATTAATTAACCTCAAGAGAGAAGTAATTAATTGAGCTAGCTAGCTAGATAGTGAGATAAATAGTGATCAATAGCTAAGCTAGCTAGCTTCGATCGATTGATCATGATGAGGTCGCCGTGGATGGTGTTTGCATGGGCGGCGGCGATGGTGGCCGTGGCGGCGGCGTCGCCGGTGCCGACGAAGCTGAAGGTGGGGTTCTACGAGCACAGTTGCCCGCAGGCGGAGGAGATCGTCCGCAACGCCGTCCGCCGCGCCGTCGCCCGTGACCCCGGCCTCGCCGCCGGCCTCATCCGCATGCATTTCCACGACTGCTTCGTCAGAGTAAGTACACATATATCACGTGCCATTCTTGAAGAAGCTGTCAATGGCGTGTAATTAATTAAGGCCTCTAATTAGTCATGATTAGATGATACTTTCTCTGTTTTAGTCAAACTAATTTATAGAAAAATAGAACAACATCTACAGCACCAAATTAGTTTCACTATATATGTAACGTTGAATACATTTTTGATAATATCATTGTGTCGTGTTGAAAGTTTTATTATATTTTTCTGTAAATTTGATTAAATTAAAAATTAATTTTTGACTATGGAAAAAATTAAAAACGACTCATATTATAAAGAGGGACGAAATTAAACTAATTGTGCTGAATTTAATTGATTATTTCAGGGGTGTGACGGGTCGATACTGATAAACTCGACGCCGGGACACGTGGCGGAGAAGGATTCGGTGGCGAACAACCCTAGCATGCGAGGGTTCGAGGTGGTGGACGACGCCAAGGCCATCGTCGAGGCGCACTGCCCGCGCACCGTCTCCTGCGCCGACATCCTCGCCTTCGCCGCCCGCGACTCCGCCCACCTCGCCGGCGCCACCGTCGACTACCCGGTCCCCTCCGGCCGCCGCGACGGCCGCGTCTCCGTCTCCGACGAGGTGCTCGCCGACAACGTCCCCGCCCCGACCTTCAGCCTCGCCCAGCTCGTCGCCAGCTTCGAGCGCAAGGGCCTCACCGCCGACGACATGGTCACCCTCTCCGGCGCCCACACCATCGGCCGCTCCCACTGCTCCTCCTTCACCGCCCGCCTCTACAACTTCAGCGGCGAGGCCGGCAGGACGGACCCGGCCATCGACCCGGCGTACGCGGCGGAGCTCAAGCGCCGGTGCCCGCCAGCGACCGACGACCAGATGGACCCCACCACCGTGCCGCTCGACCCGGTGACGCCGGCGAGCTTTGACAACCAGTACTACAAGAACGTGCTCAAGCACAGGGTGGTGCTCAACTCCGACCAGGCGCTGCTCGACAGCCCGTGGACCGCCGGCGTCGTCAAGCTCCACTCCGCCGTCGAGAAGGTGTTCCAGGTCAAGTTCGCCGCCGCCATGGTGAAGATGGGCAACATCGACGTGCTCACGGGTGACGAGGGAGAGATCAGAGAGAAGTGCTTCATGGTCAACAACCACTACTAGTTGTCAATCAATAATTAAGCTTATATTATAGTATATATATAATTTCATCTGCAGCTGGTTTATACATGTAGAATTAGTAATATTACACGCCCAAATTTCATCATGTGGAAATTTTTTTGTTGTTGTTTTGTGTGGCAAATTGTGATTAAGAAAAGATTCTATTGTTAACTCAAACAAGAGAAGATTTTCTTATATTGTTTCAAATCAGAGTGGAGAAAATATTTTAGTTTACTGTTATCTAAAAAAACAGAAGATTTTAGTTCACATCAGAAATGAGGAAAATGCTATATTGTAAAGGTAGAATGGTTTTTTTGATACCATGGCCCATCTTATGACTATAAATCCCACATAACAACGAGTAAATCAATCTGGGCCGAATGAATTGTAACGTGGCAGGAAGGGCTAGCTATGTACTGGGCTATGGAAGTTCAGTGAATTGGCTGGGCTCTCATCCATAATCTTGAACTGTAATGACATAACTGATGTAAATCTGAAGGGTATATCATTTACATATCTGGAGTTTGAATCCTGGATATTTGAGTTAATTTTTTTAGATAACAAGAAATCCCAGACTTTACTTCAACAGAAGTTATAGTAATTACTAGTACTACCAAGTTTGCAGGACAACTATCTGCTCTTATATAACAATAGAAAAGATGAAGGAACAAAACAAACCATAAAATGGATGAAAACTTGAAAAAATAAAAATCAGGAAGCATGCATCTATTTCTAAATCATTTTAAAATATTTTTGTAAATCTTTTGTAAATATTTTTTGTTTCCCTTTGTAAATAACCTCTTGTATTTTTAATATATTTTCACAGTAGGAGTCTCTACTACTGTTTCCTGTCAAAAAATCTATTTCTAAATCTTCATCCATGATTAATTAGCAAAGATTTGCATGGCCATTATTTGAGTAAAATAGAAAGTAAATAAATTGTGCTAACCGTACTTTGCCTGCAAAATGCGCGTTTCAAAACACAAATATGTATATTGTGTGGCTAAAATACAATGGCACATATTATTATTAGTTCCATTAAAGGGATGCAAGTGGGTAGTCCCACTACCCGCATAGAAACCCGCTTGCTAGTTTATTTCTCACATGGTGGTACAAAATTTAGAAGAAAAAATGAACTAGAATAGTGAGATAAGCGGGCTAAAAAACCCACTTGCATCCCTAAAATTAGATTACACCCAGCATGCATGCAATTTAATACTAACGCATGCTAAATTGAGATGATCAGACTCCTAATTGCAATTCATGATTTTGTAAAAGAAAAAAACCCAAGCGAATTCCCACGATGAATTACAATAATAAAAATAATAAAATTAAAATAGCCTTCACCCACTGCAACGTATGGGCATTTTTTCTAATTTTTTTTTAAAAAATACACACACTTCTATTTCTGTCTGAGACCCACGAGAGCCCTCTCATGGTTTGTCTGGGCTACAAGCATGTCCTGTTACATCATGTGAGACCAAAGTACAAAACATACGATTATTACATATATATAGATGATCTGAGATCGATGTAAGATAACGCGTGTGCGTGGTTGATCGATCGATCGACCGAACCTCCTGTGGAGATGATGATGAACTGAGACCCATTTCTTGTGCGTGTAACTGACGAGCTCGATCGATCATGCATGCACTCAACTGCAGTTTGGTGATATATGATTGGTGCATTTTAGCTTTATACTATCTCCCTAATTATGGTGGATCTTGATTTTGTGGCATCGATCAATTAAGCATGGAAAAATTCGGTCAGACGGCATCCCTCCTGGAAAGGAACTCACCAGCTTAATGTATTGACCTCCTGGGTGTGCATGTGATCATCAGCTCTGATTCAATTAATCGTGGACCGTCAGATGGCGGTGCGGGTCGATCTGAACCGTCGGTTTTCTTGCCATGTCATCATATCTAACTTGATGTCATTTTCTCCTCTTCTTTCTGAAAAGCAAGTTTACAAAAGGGCACTCATTGTTATATCAAATATAAAAAAGATGTCGTTTCAAGCAGCAGGTGTGTTTAGTTCACGTCAAAATTGAAAGTTTGGTTGAAATTGGAACGATGTGACGGAAAAGTTAGAAGTTTGTGTGTGTAAGAAAGTTTTGATGTGATGGAAAAGTTGGAAGTTTGAAGAAAAATTTTGGAACTAAACTCGGCCATACAAGGTTAGATATATAGAGACATTTTTTCTCTCTTTTTTTTCTAGCTAGCTAGCTTCCTCAAGTTGCAAGTTAACCCTAGCTACTAGTGTCGTTGACACCCAATGTGTCACCTCTGTTTGAGCTCGATATCTATCGTCTTTTCGTATGGTTCTATTATGTTCCAAGCTTTCCTTCCATATGAAAAGAACACATCACCAGATGAACGCATTTGCCGCTTATGGAGCATGCCAATGATGGTGACACACTTAACAGGGCTAGCTACAGGAGGAGCCTTACAATTTGCACAAATCCTGGAGAACAATTCGAGTGGAATCCAAAAGTATATCGGATTTTAAGTCATGGATGGTTGAGTTGGTGCTGTCAGAGCGTGAAAAGGGAAGCGGAAATGGGCGAGGCTTTTGTGACTAGGATGACAAAGGTGTGGATATTTGGTTGCATCTGTTTCGATGGCACGAATCATGTATATGGACAAGAAATATGAGACAATGTCGGTACCAGAAAGGAGATGTAGATGGGTACAAATACAAGATCAATGTGGATCTGAGCGTGGTGTAGTTGAGGAATGGAGTGGATTATTATTAGACGCTGATGTTGAGATAAGGAGTATATATATGTTTTTACACCATAGTTATAGAATGCAACCAAATCATCGGATGATTTGTAGTATCTCACAACTATGAATACGACTTTTATGTGTATTGTGTGCCTGTGTCTATGTGTAATAAACGGTCCATATATATAAGACCGTAACGATCCGGACTTAGAAGTCAAAGCCAACTAGAGATGATCACAACAATATGTTTGTGCATGGATGGATCTTCATAAAGTTTTATGGTACTTACAATTAAGTTCAACCTATCTCGTCAACAATACTGTTCCTTCTTTTTTTCAGGGAACAACACTGTTTCCTTGAGTATTGCATACAATCCAAGTCTATGATGTATGTTCGATTGTGTGACTGAGATACTATGCTTAATTGCTTATTAGAGCCACATTTTATAATTAAAAAGAAAGAAATAAATAATTGTTAAGGTCCCTATACCATTTTAGTTAGCGGACTACAAGTCACTAATACAAACCAAGGTCAGCTGTGAAATAACCAAATAGCCTACGCGGCATGTAGAGAACAAAAAAAATCAATTGCCGATGGTTTCTTCAATGGTGTCGATGGTTACATACTTCCATGTGAACTGTAAACCATTCACGTAAATGGCCTACGAGTATGTACTACATCAATACATATGCCGAGATAGTTTTATGCAGACGGTATGGTATTAACGTACAGGTTTCATGTTTAATAGGTTAGTCATTAACAATATTCCAAGACCAAGGGGGTCACATTTCTATTTTTTTAAAAACAAAACAATGCAGGTTACTACAAGCAAGCTACGTGCATACTACATGCCTTTCAACTCAGTCCCTGCACTTTAGAAGGAAGCATAAAATAAAGCAAGATATGACGGACATGGAGCACCAACCAGCAGGCCAGAAAATATATAGATTGATCAAGGAGTCAATTTGATTTAAGTAAAAGCAAGTGCATGCTGTGCTGGCTCTGCTTGTTACGAAAACGAAAAAAAGAAAAGGAAAAGCAAGATATTTCCGGGGCAATTCTCGCAGAGGGGTTGGGCTCTATCGATCGACAAGTTGGTGACACCTTGCACTACATCCATTGTCACCCTGACATTCTTCTGTACTGCGCTAGTTCATAGATTCTACTTTTTCAAAATATTCTACCTTTTAGTTATCTGCTCAATTATGTCTTGATGAAAAATTACTTTTCAATAATTGCCAGATTTAGAAGTTGAACTTCAGAAATTAATGTTATGTTTGACACGGCTCCGAATCTAAAAATTTTTTGGACCGGTGTATTACAACTTCAAAATTCATGGATATATATGAATATGCGATTACGTTCTGGATGGAACATTGTTTTCTTTATTTTTTTGGGAAAATTCAAATAACCCCCTTATAAGTCACTATTTTTTTACACTCCCCCTGCAACCCACTCTGATACAAAAGACCCTCTGCAAATTAGATTTCTCTTCCAAAGTTCTGCATGTTGCTAATTTTCCACAATTCATCATTGTTTGCTCAGGTTCTTGTGCCATGTGGGCATCCAACATGGAGAAATGGAGTTGCCCTGGCCATGTCATCTTGATAAGGGTGGGGTTCCTTCTACCTTCCACGAGCGCAGCGACGGCGACAATAAACCTCAACAGAAAACACAACACGGCTATTCGGAACATCTACAACTCAGTGTGATATCCCTAGTTGACAAGAGGTATTCTCCCTTGTTGATACGGCATGGGGATACCTCATCTCGCTATGTTGGAAGCTAGGCGGCATGAGGAGTCGAGGAGTTGAACCAACGGTGATAAATCAATGAAAACTAGCAGAAGAGGGAAAATTAAAAAGAGAAACTGAACTTGTAGAGGGCCTTTATATGTACGAAAGTGAGAAGAGTAGAAAAACAGCTGACTTATAATTAAGGGCTATTTGGATTTTTTTTTCCCCTTCTATCTTAAATGAAATATAAAATTTTAAATCATTATAGTTTAATATACAAACTTCAAATCGAATGTGCATTTAGATCTGGAGTTGTGGCAAATTAAGAGAGCCTAAACCATGATAAGCTAGCGTGTTCTTTTTTAAAGAAAAAAAAGGAATTGAACTATTTAATTCAGCGGTATACATTCCGAACTCCTATACGGTGCAGATTTCGTAAAAACTTTATATATATATATGAATTTATTTTAAAATTATTTTAAATCCATCTTTCAAAAATATAATATTTAATTAATTCGTCTGTACTCTCAAATTTTATCATAGATCGTTCAGCTATTCATTCATTCAACTATTTAGAATGGAAAAAAGAACACATAGAAAGCTAATTGTACCATAGAGTGTCCTCTCCTCTAGAGCTGTTTTTCTTGAGAGAGAATTAATATTCATAGAATACAGTTGTCGAGATCCCTTTGAAACAATAAATTAGTTTCAGAATTCAGAACAAGTTACCTACAATTAAAATCAATTAATAGCTTGAGAGTTCAGCTAGCTAGCTCTGGATGGCAGCTTTGTTTCGCAGATATGCCCAGCACACCATCCGGCGTGTGTGGACCATCCATGCACATATGCATTGGTCCTTTCTCCAACAACCGATATAGCGATCGATCTCGCACAAGGAAACGAATTGTTCACGTGGCAGCTACCTTTCTACCAATCAATGGCGCTCCATCGCCATGGCACCATGAACTATCAAATGCAAGCTAACCATTTGTCTATATATATACCTCTTGTCCTTTCCAACATCTCACAGCCATTTCACTAGACAGCTTAGCTAGCAGGTAGCTGAGAGAGTTCCTTCGATCTCGATCTCTGCACGGCGACGATAAGATAAGCAATGGCAGTCTCGTCGCCGGCGCCGTCGTCTCTGCATGTGCCGATGGCCGCTGCGGCACTATTAGGGATGCTGATGATGATGTCGTCGGCGCCGGAGATGAAGGTGGAGGCGGCCGGCGGGTTGTCCGTCGGGTTCTACGCCGAATCGTGCCCCAAGGCGGAGGCGATCGTCCGGGACACGGTGACCAAGGCGTTCGAGAAGGCGCCCGGCACGCCGGCCGACCTCATCCGCCTCTTCTTCCACGACTGCTTCGTCCGCGTAAGTATAGCACCCCGCTTACGTGGATGCATCGTGTCCGTGCCACGTGTGCTCACTAGGCAGCTTTGTGCTTACGTGGACGCACCATGTCGTGCCACGTGTACTTAGCTTATGTTGACGCACCATATCGTGCCATGTGTTCTAACTAGGCAGCTATATATGACTCTCTAGGGATGTGACGCATCGGTGTTGCTGGAGTCGACACCAGGGAACAAGGCGGAGAGGGACAACAAGGCGAACAACCCTAGCTTGGATGGGTTTGACGTCGTCGATGATGCCAAGGACCTCCTCGAGAAGGAGTGTCCACACACCGTCTCTTGCGCCGACATCCTCTCTCTCGTGGCTCGTGATAGCGCCTACCTTGCTGGTGGGCTCGACTTCGAGATCCCAACAGGTCGTCGTGATGGCTTCGTCTCTAAGGAGGATGAGGTCCTCTCCAACGTCCCTCACCCGGAGTTCGGTGCCAAAGACCTCCTCAAAAACTTCACCGCTAAAGGTACATATTATATACTTGTACTACATAGATACGCATATCATCGGTAACAATTTCATGGGGTCATCATATGCACTTGCCAGTTTATCTAAAGTCTTGTTAATGCTCTCCCTCATACCGATGTCCCATAAATCATCATAGAGCGAGTTATGAATGCAAGATAGTGAGAGTTGTTTAGCTCTGATATACGGAAAGTGTTTTTATCCCTCGAGAGGATATCCCAACGTTTATGATTGCCACTTAAATAGTTATAAAAGTATGAAAAAAATTAACAAGATAGATTAATATAATATATATCACTCTATAAACATACAAGTTAAAATTTAACTTTTACAAGTTGTATTAAATATAACTGCAAATGTTCAATAATTATTTTCAATTTAATTTGTTCTTTTGGTTGTAACTCGTAGAGTCGAATTTGACTTTTATGTTTATAGAGTGATATATTTTAGATATCTATATTTTATATTAAATTATCTTGTCAATTTTTTAAAAAATTTAGTAACTATTTAGATGACATACAACCAACAAAGAAATATCCTCTAATACCATATTAATGATATACGATTACTTAGGTTTTACGGCGGAGGAGATGGTGACGCTGTCGGGGGCGCACTCTATCGGCACGTCTCACTGCTCATCGTTCACAAACCGGCTGTACAAGTACTACGGCACGTACGGCACGGACCCGTCGATGCCGGCGGCGTACGCGGCGGACATGAAGAGCAAGTGCCCGCCGGAGACGGCGGCGCAGCAGGACGCGACGATGGTGCAGCTCGACGACGTGACGCCGTTCAAGATGGACAACCAGTACTACAGGAACGTGCTCGCCGGGAACGTCACGTTCGCCTCCGACGTGGCCCTCCTCGACACGCCGGAGACGGCGGCGCTCGTCAGGCTCTACGCCGCCGGCGACCCCGCAGCCTGGCTCGCCCGCTTCGCCGCCGCGCTGGTCAAGGTCAGCAAGCTCGACGTGCTCACCGGCGGCGAGGGGGAGATCAGGCTCAACTGCTCCAGGATCAACTAATTAACTCAAATTAAATTCGCGTGAAGTTTGTGATTCTCATATATACAAACACTACTGCCCTGTTGCCATGCATGCATGAGGCTCATTTGATTTATTTTTCCTTATATGTTTGTGCATGATTCAATGTACTACTACTACTACAACAACTTTTGTTTATTTTTATTTTCAGTTTCATTTTTTACCTTTTGATGCTGAGTGTGCCAATTGGGCAAAAATAAATTGTGCTTCTGACCATATATATGGGTGAATTTATTCAAGGAGTAAAATGTGTGCTATTCATGTTTTATTTTGGTAAAGATTTCATTTGATTCTTTCATTTCTAGCTAGGTACCACATTAATTATTTGATTGGAAATTTAAAAATCGGTTGAATTTTGAAATCCTTTGGATGTGGAAGCCCGAACACGCTGCCTTTCACCTAATTGGCCATCAGATTCGACCTGTTGACAAAGCACTAGCCACCAAATTCCCCAATATATCAACAATATAATGGTGGTTCTTCCTTCTTTTTCGTTGCGAAAATGGTACAGATTATAAGTTGCTTGCTGTTTCAGCTCCACATTTTAAACATGATCTGGCATTACTGAATGAGTGACCGATCTTGTTAATTACAGCCTGAATTCAGGTGCAATTGCTTCCTGTGGATAAATTAAAGGATTAATCTTATTATCTGAAAAAGTAATATAGGACTAGCTAACATAATCGTCCTACTTATATATACACGACGTCATGACTCCCGCTACTCCCTCCATTTCATATTATAAGTTGCTTATATTTTTTTTCAAACTTTTAAAATTTGATCAAGTTTAAAAGAATATAACAATATTTTCAACACAAAACAAACATATCATCAAATATATACAATATCATATTTAATGAAACTAATTTGGTGTTGTAAATATTGTTATTCTTTTAATAAATTTAGTAAACTCTTAAATAAGTTTGACTAGAAAAAACTCAAAACAACTTATATTATAGAACGGTGGGAGTAATTAAAACGATAGTGAAATATGATAAATATCGATGACCAATAAGTGAGGCCAGCTAATGGTCATCAGACTTCGACTTCGAGTAGGACCGATGACTATAGAAAAGGTAGGATGTGAGGTGATTTTGATCCAACAACCTACATACTTCAACAGATTTTACCTAGAAAATAGTTATTAGATTTGAAAGGAAACGGTACTCTCTCATGAGTTTGCCATGGTTATTATCTATAGGGATATATAAGAAAAATAAAAAGTGAACTTCAAAAACTACCATCTCTCTCTTTGATACCGATAGAAAACATAATTAACCATTCAGATGTGACTCTTTGTGTGCATGACAACAAGTTACCTCTCTGGAATTGCACTAAGTTGGTAGCTTCAGCAATACCATTTCTGAACTGCCCCATCAGCTATATACATGCATTCAGCTATGATTTGACATAATACATACTTAATTATGTGCCAAATTTATCATGATCATCACTGCACTACGTGTTAAATAAACTAAAGAAGAATCGACGATGCGATCTAATGGGTGATTAATCAAGAATAACAGGTCGGATGTCACTTTTTCTTGCAGCGTCGATCTCCATTTAGAAAAATCTTTTCTCCTGTCAACGAAGAACCTTGAGCACGTACGTACTACTACTGAAGAAAAGCTCCTGGCCACCAACCATATGCTAAGCTAGCTTGTTATTCAGTCTAGCTTTCACCGATGAAATAATTGAAATTTTGCACAACCCGACATATATAAAATCAGATACATCGCAATTGAAAAGCCCAGACCACCGTGAAGGCTGAAGACACACTCCTCCGTTGATATTTCGATGCATCGCATTCGCTGTCGTATTTTTCACAAATTAGCTAGAGAGATTTTTGGCCTGGAAAATTAAAGAGAGATTATTTTTGCTGTAATTTGTCATTCCTTTGGTTTATCTCTAGTACGTATGAACTTCTACAGATCTGCACACAAATTCCTTTGGTCTCTGAAGAATGTAACACTATATTTTGATCCTTAATTATAAACCATGTGTGTTTTAAAAACAGAAAAATATATTTTAAATGATCCTATTAATTTATTTTTAAAGTTTAAAATAATTAATACTATATTAATCATACGTAATGACTAATATCGTTTTGCGTATCTTTTAATTTTTTTTCCTCTCCTCTGAAGAGATCATTTGTGTACCGTGTAAGTTTAGAAGGTATCATAATTTCTAGTTTAAGTTTAACTGCACGGTATTTTGTTTCTACTGCAGTGCTTTAAATAAAAGGGGCAGCTCTTTATGAAAGAAGAGCATAGAGAGAGAATCAAAGAAATAAAGAAGGAAAAAGCAGCAAGAACTTGGTTGGGCCTAGACAATCACGTAAATGGGTTGGCCCACATACTAAGAGCCTTTTAGACCTCTTTCTGGTGTGGCCCACATATTGAACAGATACCGACCATAAGAGTAAATGGGCCGATATGAAGCCCATGTCATTTGGAGGCCTTATCTGGTCCACTTCAAACTGGAATCTTGGCCCGATCCACGGGAAACTACTAGGGCCATGAGAGATTGGGCCTTCAGATGGGCCCTGGTGGGTGATTGATCCAGTGACACCTCTTCCACTGGACCCCAAACCAAGAACAGCCCAGGAAAAATGCCACTGTTTGGGCTTCTTGTATGCAAGTGACAAATGGGAGTACCAACTACCAAGTGGTTCAGTTTTGAGTGAAATGATTAAGACAGAAATACTTAATTAGCTTTCTTGATTAGTTTTGAGTGATATTGAATAAGACAGGGGTAATGAATATGCAGTAGGTGAGAGTGGGTTGGAGGAGGATCTCTTGGAGCTCCTGCTCCAACTCTAGCAAAACCCTCCTTCTCTGAATTTTCTGAATGCTGATGTATGCTGAAGCTTTCTTTGGTAGTGTTCATCACTTGTTGCCTTTCTAATTGATTCATCCATGCATGGAAAGCCTTTGATTTCTTTTTTTTAAAAAAGAAAAGAAGGTGAGATTGTTTTTGCCTGCTTGCTGGACGTTCATGTAAGGTCGGTCCATTTTTGCCAGCTTCTCTGAATATCTGAATTGGTTTGGTTTGGTTTGGTAGGTGAACTCGCTGTTTGTTGGTTAATCAGTTCAGTGTACTTTTCTATGATGCTACCTAACTCAGCTACGCAACACCAGTCACCACACCAGACTGATTACCTTAGCTTGGAGACGACTTCAGAAAAGGCATCGCCAGCTTCAAGTCTGAACTTTTTTTTCTCAAACGCACAAAAAAAAATTACACGTCAATATATTAGAATAAAAAAATATTTGTTACATAACGCATTAAGCCAGACCGACTTATACCAAGAGAGGTGGGAAACAAAAGACCAAAGGAAAAAAAGACTCAGAAACTACGACTCCAACCAGCGGGAAGGGGGCAAAGCCCACTACTCTCCCAATAAAACCCCAAAATTAGCATATAATTGTTGATTTCAAACATTTTTACATGCACAGCCTGGAGCTGATATATATATATATATAGATGCAGTAATCTTTCTCTGATAGAACAGTAGAAATTCAAGTAGTAGCTGCTTTGATGATTCTTTTTGAGGCAGTTTACATGTGGATCATTGCACAAGGTGGGAAAGAAAACAATGTTCAGAGAAACTGAAACTGAATATTGCCGGTCCGTCATCTTGGGCTGACGCCTGCAACATTTTTTCTTCTCCAATCATGCATTCGTTTATGGTCAATTTGCAGCCAAGATTGATGAGAGTTGGTAGTTGAGATGCACAATGACTCACTCCACATAATCTGGTGGATGCACACGTGGCGTCATGTCATCTGTATAATTATGATTCCAAAACTCCAGATTATAATCAGGTGGATTCCGGGATCTTTCACCAGCATCATCAGTTCCAGTTGCTGGACCTCCTGCTGGCGTCTGAATGCATCGCCACTGCTGTTCTGCTGTTCTTTCTCTGAATTTCAGTAGTAACTAGCAACGGATTGTGAGAAGCATTTTGCCGCTGATCGATAGCCTGATTATTTTTATTTTTTTAGATAACGAGTAAACCCAGTCTTTGCTTCAGCAGAAGTTAAGGCCAATTATTACAGAAATTGTAGCAACCAAACTATAGACAATGTCAAAACAGAAGATAAGCATATATAAAAAATAATCAGTAACCTGATGGAGCAATCAATGGAATTTTCACGCTGTTCGTCAGCTAGCTGCAGCATGCCAAGCTCGATCGGCAGAAAGGGGATTAGTGGAATTCATGCTGCCTCGTGAAACACGTGATGGTGTAGATTGATCCATGACAAATGAGTTGACAGGAATGGATGACTAACAAATCATGCATGAATGGAGTAGAAAAGTCAGATTATATTTTCTTCTCTCAGACCCTAGATTAGCTAAACAGATAAGAGTAAATCAAGCAAACACAAATAAATTAAGAGTTGGGAATTTGTCAAGATAACACATAATTTTAGTTCATGTAGTAACACGATATGAATGAATTGTCATCAAAATAACTTTGAAAAATATTAGAGAGACAATTCGATTTGTGGTACGTAGGCTGGCAATTGCAGTGCTTGTCACCAACTAAGGGGGCATCTGGAATGTAGGATCGGATGCATGTGCAAGATCTCAGCACCAATTTATACTATGTACGACACAACCTTCACAGATGCGATATTTAGTGGTGCCTACACCTGTCTCCAGTTTAAATGGAGATGTAGACCTATATCAACATTTTCAAGTGGACAGAGTCCTCTGTCCTTATTCCCAAGCTAAATTATGATCATCTTAGGTGTTTTAAATGCTTATGCAACTCATCCTGAAAATGCGAGATTACCATCTGCCGTGAATTATAGGAACTTTTCGCTGCTTGTCATGCCCAATTTTTTTTTAATACGCAAAGTCCGTATCTTCGTATTAAAATCAGAAATTAGATGTTTCACACGGGCGCAGCAACCATATAAAAGGAGAAAAAGAAAAATCAACTATATACACATAGGTCGACGTCTTGCAGTTCATTTGGCGACCAAGTGGGCCTAGATTGGCACTCTTGCTTCCCTCTAGCTCCGCCACTTTCAGTATGGTTTTGCAACCACCGCTGAACACTCGGTTATTTTGCTCCTTTCAAATTGTCTAGGCTTTAGAATATCGACAGTGTCCAATCCTCGTCTTCTAGCCGTTGCGCTTTTTTCCCGGCTATGACACCATGAGAGGAGGAAGGATTGCTTGTTTGCCTGAAAGCGGTGAGGCCGGCCAATACCACGCAAGACCATCATCCACCATAGCTGGAGCGTCTTTGGACAC